CCTTCATTATTCAAAAACAGATCGGCCTTGTGAAGCGGCACTGTGACTTATGAAGACATTAAAAAACTATTCTCGTACGTATTAATATTAGTAACTTCCATTTTCACTTGACTCTTGTACTTAATAAAGCCAGCCGTACTATCTCTGTAATCGTAATATATATAGAGAAAGGGTTCTTTCTGTCGCTTTGAAATTAAATTCGCTTATTGAATGCGCTTTTCCTTTTCTATTCTCTAATCTATTTTGACGTTTACTCGTCACACTAGTCTAGTTATCCTCTATTTTCGGTTTTAGTGGCAGAACGTGCGTTCACTTTTTTCCGCCACTGCTGTCGTTCGCGTTCATGCACACCGATAGCGTAAACTAGTGTTGCCAGGATCCCAATTTGCGCGGGACGTTCAGATTTCCAGAGGTATGGTGACACGTTCCGATTCACCCTTGATCGCGGGACGTCAAATGTCCCGAATTTTCACTAACCTCCTTAGTCTGTATTTCGATCGATCATTTTGACAGCAAAATTGAATATATTTATAAGCTGCTACTGTGCCTGTTACTACATTAAAATATTTTTGCTTTTACAATTTCATATTTTCTCACCAAACTGACTAAATAGTCAAAACTCAGATATACAAAATCAGATATCAATCATGTTGAATCGTTTTTTTTGTTCCCGTTCCAAAAGGAACTACAGGGACTTGTGTAGATGTCTATAGACCAGTAGCAGTGCTATCTACTCTAGGTAAGGTATTTGAGTCGGCTATATATACAAAAGGTTAAATCAACAGATAAACACACAGCCGTTGGAAGCACAGCACGGGTTCAGACCTGATTTGCGGAGCTCTGCGAGTAACCTTCCAGCGTTTGTGACCGAAAAAATGCCAGTAGCAGATAATGGGGGACAAGCTGAAGATGCTTATATTATAAAGCATTTAATTTGGTAAATAATGACATCCTTCAAAAAAAGGCAACATTTTCACTCCACTTCTTGAATTTTTGTATGTAGAATATGAGGGTCGTAAGTCAAAACCATACTTTACTTTGCAAGTTTTCGATGATGATAAATAACTTACCCAGTGTTGTAAAGAAATCAAAATGTTTATTTGCAGTCGACCTTAAGTTACCGATGGATATAGTTAGTTTGAAGGACTGTGAATGTCTCGAAGACGATATAAATAGAGTTTTTGAATGGAGCAAAGATAACAAGTTACAATTCAATACCGCTAAATGTTTAATGATATCTTTTAAGCGTAAACATATGCCCATAGAGTATAGAATAATATCCATTCAGAACAACTCAGGTTTTGACCCAAAAATTTTCTTCATCTAACTTAATAGAATTTGTAGAAATAAGTAGAAGCTTTTTTTAATGCAAAATAGATTATAAATAACATTTATTTAAAATCACACGTCTACAAATAAAATAGTGGTTTCAACAAAACCCATTTAAAATTACGTATTTAGATGTTGACTAAATTGAAAGCATTTACTTTTAGTGTCATTTAAATGCAAATTGGTAATCTTAAACAAATTCACTAATTTAGAAGATATATCATTAATTAACATTAAAGGTCATATAATCCTAGCGTCGAATTTAGAGAATATGTAAAAAATATTCAAAAATATTTAAAAGAATGTGCTCCACAGCCAAGTCTTTGCATTTGAGCAACAAAATTAAGACAATCAACTCTCGCAATTAAAAATACCAGTTAAGTTTTAACAACAAATTAACTGAATCAGATCAGGACGTTGCAATGGTTTTTGAGAAATATTTAAAATCACTGAACTCTTCTCCTTCCGTCGCCGAATCATTACCTAAACAAAATGTAAATGCGTGTACAAAGAATTTTACATTTCATAAAGTATCATCAAAAGATATTGAAAAATATTTTAAAAATATAGATATTAAAAAAAACTGCAGATCTGTGGGGGATTTCCGTTAAAGATATTGCGTCTATATTAGATACAATCGCGCTTCAACTAGCTATTATTTTTAATACTAGAATCGAACCTGTGTATCCTGATTTAATGAAGCATAGTAAAGTAATACCTTTATTTAAATCTGGTAGTACATTACACCCCGCCGATTTATGACCTATTTCTGTACTACCAACACTTAGTAAGATTTTTGAAAAAAATATTCTTGATCAAATGCAATTTTTTTTTAATATAAATAATTTACTTCATAAAAAGCAATTTGGTTTCACAAGGGGTCGCAATATATATTTAATCAGCTCAATACCGGACTACTGATGCCGGTATTGAGCTGATTAAATATATCTTTATTGCATGGGAGATTCACAGGCTGCTTTGGGTATATTTTGTGACCTATCCAAGGCCTTCGATTGTGTTCACCAGGAAACATTAATCAGGAAACTTCAACACTGCGGTGTAAGAAGTGATGCTCTGAAATTAATTATTTCATATTTAAGTAATAGAACGCAAAAAGTTGTCATTAACAGTATGAGCTATTCCGGGTGGATCGTACAAATGGGCGTGCCTCAAGGCTCAATTCTTGGCCCCTTTCTGTTTCTTACCTTACATAGTAGGGGATAACCATGATATAGTATTATTTGCTGATGACACTTGAGAATGAAAATTACTAAAATATGACGAAGTAAATAATGCTATATCTAAATTAGTAAATTGGTTCAATGTTAATAATTTGCATTTAAATGGTACTAAAACGACATGTATGAAATTCATGACACCAAATGTCAAAAAATTAAATACTAATGTCATTTTAAATGGGGAGGAACTGTCTTGTGGATACCACTATTTTTCTTGGAATCACACTAGACGCGAAGCTAAGTCAAAACTAGCATGCAGACTTAGCTGTAAAAAAGATTAGAAATCTTACCAATGTCGAAACAGTTAAGACTAGTCTACTTTAGCTATTTCCATAGCATAATGTCGTATGGTATTTTGCAATGGGGACACGCGGCTGACACTGAAATTATATTTGTTTTAAAGAAGAGGGCGGTAAAAGAAATTTATGATTTAAAGTCTAAAGAGTCGCTGCGACAAAAATTTAAGAAAATATATTAACTTTGGCCTCTCAATACATTTACGAAAATGTAGTCTGAGGCACGTCCATTTGTACTACAGACTCGAATAACTCTTACCGTTGACAACTTTCTGAGTTCTGTTACCTATATAAAAAATGTTAAAGTTAACACCATCACTTCTTATAACCTAGTGTTTTAAATTCCTGATTAAGGTCTCGTGATGAACACAATCGAAGACTTTGGATAGGTCACAAAATGTAACCAACCTGTCCTGTGAATTATCCAGTGCATTAAAAATATGTTGAATCAGCTAAATACCAGCACCAGTTGCCAAGCAACCCCTTGTAAAACCGAAATGATTTTAATGAATAAATTATAATTATATTTAATATTTGATCAAGAATAATTTTTCGAAAATTTTACTAAGATTGGCAGTGTATAAATAAGTCTAAAATGAGTAAAACATAACAGATTCGATATTAGTTTTAAAAATAATACCTAGTTGAAGCGATTATATCTTCAGATAGTACTTTATGAAATATAATTTTATTGTATCATTTTGTTTGATTAATGGTTCGTGTTACGGCCCTCAGTTGCCCCTACAGAGGTCGACTGGACCAGGGCCCATGAGTGATCCACTCGACGGGCAACCAGAGGGTTCGGGCCCAAATGACCTATGGATAATTATTATATAATGGCTGGATAAACAAACACAAACTTACCGAGTTCCGGAGGTAGGGTCAACCACAAGGTACCGTCAGGGGCAAGTAAATGGTAGGTGTGAGTGGTGTAAGGTGTGTAACCTTGAACCTTGAATAACCTGTGTAACCTGATGTCACCGATGTAATCGGCCAGCAGACCCACATGCTCTGCTCTGTTGCACAATGTTCGATCACTCCAATGGGCGTTCACCGTTATCTGAACTCAAGTCTAACGTCACTTAGCACAAAATTATAATCGAAGAGGAACGCGATCTCCTCTCGGGTCACAAAGTTTTAGCGTTCCACCCGACAAAGCAAATGTCTTATTACGATATTAAAATGCCACACAAACAACTCGTCGACGCAAATTAATGGCAATCGAAGTTAAGTTAATTACTCAAAACTCAAGATAAGCCTCGTTGTCACGCATACGAACGAAATAAGACAACGCAAAGGAGGCGGTCTTAACGCGATCTAACGATTCTAACGTAACTTCCCGACATCTAACCGACACGGCCGTCGCGGACAATTGATTGTTCCAGACTAATCGGCACGGCCGCCGCCCGCAAAACGAATCCCCCCGGCCCAAGTCGTCAAACAGGTTTATCGCCCGAGACGAGCGTTTTTGCAAGTTTTAAGTTGTTACGATTTGGCCTAAACAGTTCGGTTTCAGTACGAGAATAATTCAGTGACTTTGTGGTTAAGATCGGAATTTCAGTAAAATATTTTTCAAAACCATAGCAACTTCTTGACTTGAATTAGTTGACTGATTGTTAAAACTTGATTGTTAGTTTGAATTGCCAGCCTTGACCTTAACGTGTAAATAAAGTTGCTGAGCCACATAGATTTCAGTATGGCTTTCAACTTAATACATCGTTTTATCTTACCAAGAAACGTATTAATGGTTCTATATACATATTCAAGGTTCATTGTTGCGGTCACGATTACACTTATTAATCAAATTTTGTACCAGAAGACTCACACACTTGGGTCCTTTATTTTTCATAATTTATACAAAAGACTTGGCCAGAAAACTAATGTGTCGGTTTGAAATGATTGTAGGTGATTTAAAACTATAATCATATCAAGACTATTTATATTTAAAAAACGAAGAATTTCATCTTAGTCCTCAGGTGTGTCAACCAATCTGCATTTTGATTCTTAATCGAAGATAAATGTAGATGTATATGGAACACAGCATCCACTTACAGGTGTGTGTGGTCGTTTATCTCCCTTATGGTATACAAAAATAGTTGGGTGGTGCAACAGAAATGTAGAGATGCAGTTGACTGACCGCACACGTGCTGCTGCACGATGATGGCGGGCGCCACGTCCAGCGGCGCGCGCGCAACATCACGCCGCCAGCCGCCCGCGCGCGCCGCACTCCCCGCACTCCCCGCACTACCCGCACTCCCCGCGCCGCTCTGCGACACCGCCCTGCCAACGTACCAAACTAACTGTATACGTCCCACTCCTGACTACAGGCCTTCAGAGAGGTTTACACCGAGGCCTAAGGTTCCAAATAATTTAAACCACACGCATAATAATATACACACTGCATAATATTATGTATGTCGTGGATCAAGTAGGAAATTCTTTATAATGCCCACTCTGTTTAAAGAATGCCCAAAATGAAAAAGCAACATGACAATAACTTAAAATATGCAATGGCCCAGCTTTATGAAAATGTCTGGTGATCTAAGGTTAGATTAGAACTTTTAAATAAAAAGTCACATAAAACGAGCAAATAAAACCAACTTTTAATATTTAATAATTAATTATAGTCACATGACGCGATTTAATTTGTCATGCATTCACTGTCTTGGCTTTGTACAAATTGCCCTCAAACACATTACGATATACAGGGTTATTTTGCAATAACCAGCCAAATTTGCAGAGAAGGTTCAGAATAGGTAACATAAGCGAATGGTGAAAAAAATAAACAAGAAAAAAACTGAAACATTTTATAAAAGCTTTTACAACAATTTACTTAGCAAATATCCGCGTTATAAAATAAAATGATGTGTCTTACCTAGTATGAAGAAGGACACATCATTTTATTTTATAACGCGGATATTTGCTAAGTAAATTGTTGTAAAAGCTTTTATATAATGGATTTCCGCAAAGTAACGCCTGATTCTATTAATTATATGAAACATTTTATCTTTTATATTCGAAACTAGCTGTTTCCCGCAACTTCGCCCGCGTATAATTATGGGTTTTAATATCTTTTTTTTTGCGCGGAACATTAATTCTTTTTTTAAATGAAAGTAGCCTAAGTTGCTCCTTATAATATCACCTGTCAGCCAGTGAAAGTCCCGTCAAAATCGGTCCAGCCATTTCATACATAAGTCGGAACAAACAGACAGAGAAACATTTTAAAAATTGTGTTTTTAAAAAATAATTTAAGGAAACGTGCTCAACAGTGCATTAAATGAGAAACGGACTCAATTTTGAACACCTATTAAAATACCAATAAGCTAGTTTTATTTTAAGTGATTGCATATTTAAGGTGAAACATACGGTCTGTTCCCGACCATATTCCCCGCGAGATGGCGCTGAAGTCAAAATTTTTTAGTTTATTTGGGTTTTTGTGTAATTGGAACATTATTAAGTCGTAGAAGAAGCAATCGCGATACTCGGACATTATACTTTATTTTACTAGGTCATATCATTGCCTCAAAATCCACACAATTCAACACAAAGTCCGAAAATTACATCTATCATTAAATATAGTGTCCTTTACACACACTGACGTGGGTGAATTCTTAGTCCCTAAATTTACGAAAATTGAACACTAGATGGCGTGAATGAAAAAATTTTTTTTCCTTTTTTCTGTATGGGTAGGCAGAACTACAGAACGCCACCTGCTACGATATATTATATTATGTACGATTCATCATCTGCCTAGCCTTTTTCCCAACTATATTGGGGTCGGCTCCCAGTCAAACCGGATTCAACTGAATACCAGTATTTTACGATTATGTTACAAAAATAAAAGTTATATTTGTAAAATGAGGCGTGGTAACTCAGATGGTTAGCACTCGCTGTAAGTTTCACAGTACACGAGAAACCCGGGTTCGATCTTCGCCGGCACCAATTAAATTGTTAATTGCAATTTTAAGTGCTGATTTACATATGATTTTCTTTATATTGCTCGGCGGTGAAGGAAAACATCGTGAGGAAACGTGCATGTCTGACAAATAAGAAAATATATATATATATATATTTCGAAGACTTGTGAAGTTCGCCAACACGAATTGGGGCAGCGGCGGACCTTTCCTTGCCCTAAAACCCTCTCAGAAATGAGAGGAGGCCTGTGCCCAGCAAAGGGATGTGTATATAGGCTGTAACTTTAACTTTTTTAACTTATATTTGTAGGCGTAAATAAACTATTTAATTCAATAATAATCTTGGAAAATAAATTATCTTAACACTAAGAACAATAATAATAATAATATTCCACAACTATCTCACAACGCCATCTAGTCCCAAGCTAAACAGAGCTTGTGTTAACAGTTAGAATAGAAATTGCACTGATTGAACTCCGTTTTTGTAGTAATCGCGACACTTCTACTTGAAATAAAAATAACAAGAATTTAATTTGAAATTGCTACTTAATTTACCTACAGTGAGAGAAAATTAGTCTGGCCCACCAGGAAGGGTGAACTCACGGTTAGCGGCAGCGGCGATCAACTTCAACTTGGCTTCAATAATATCTTCGGATGAGGAAGGTTTCAGTCTTCCTTGACCACACTCCTACGTGATTATATAATCTATGCACACAGCTGGGTCGACCCGGCACACTCACTAACTCTTAATTACATTGATTTTATTTTGGAAGGTTTAGACAAGAACAGCCATTACCGATGCAGTTCGTCTTGAGTCTTGATTACATGTGTGTATCGATCGCGTCGACTTCTCTTGCAGACGCTTTTGTTGTAGGCCAACAGATGGCGCCATAAGTTTTGTTTCGCATATAATTGGAAGGAAGGATGCGATAGAAAAGTAAGGAAGGCAAGCCAGTACATAATTCCCCCCACTTGAAATCGTTTCAGATTTCATGAGTAATAACAGCAGTTCTCCCTATAAAACTAAATACTTCACGAACTAGAAACTAACTTAGAATAATATCTACATAACTATAATATTAATACTTGAATTTGAGTTGCATACCTATTAGAAAGGTATGTAAGGCAACAAAATTTAATATCCAACTATACCTGTAAGCTAAATAACAAAAAACTATAATATTAATAAAAGAAAATTTGACTTTTTTTTTCATAAGTATAGCTATATATTATTGATTTAAAGGTAGAGGACACAGTTTATTTACTGGTCTCTTAAGGAGTCCATTAGTAGTGCGTAGGGTGACCACGCGCACTACACCGTCTTTGCCGGGATGCACGTCTTGAACTCTACCTGAACGCCACTCTAGTGGTGGTAAATTGCTATCGACAATTAGTACAATATCTCCGACATGAATATTTGGTTGTTCTCGAAACCATTTCGCGCGTTGCTGCAAGGTATGGAGATAATCGCGTTGCCAAATATGCCAAAAAGACTGTGTAAGTTTTTGCAACATCTGCCAGCGGGCCCGAGGTGGAACATATTCATTAGAAAGTTCAGGTTCTGGTAACGATATAAGAGAACCATGGACCAAAAAATGACCAGGTGTAAGAATATCGACCTCATTAGGATCCGGAGATAGACAGCACAACGGTCGCGAGTTAAGTATGGCTTCGACTTTAGTAAGAATTGTTATGAGCTCCTCGAATGTCAATACTTGTAACCCTATAACGCGTTTTAAGTGAAACTTCATTGATTTTACACCGCTCTCAAATATGCCACCAAAATTACTCCCGGTAGGAGGGTTCAGTCGCCAGATAATGTTTCGTTTCGCAAGACTAGACTCAAGTGAATCCTTATTCTTAGAAATCATTTGCTGTAGTTCGTTAAGGTAACGGCGGGCACCAATAAAGTTAGTACCGCAGTTGGTGACTATGAAGGTACAAAGGCCACGACGTGATACGAAGCGATCTAACGCTGCAAGAAAAGCAGAAGTCGATAGCTCGGTTACTGCCTCAAGATGGATAGCCTTTACCGCGAGGCAAACGAATACACACACGTAGGCCTTGTAAGTACGAGCGTTTCGTCTACGACTTTCCTTCACTATGAATGGACCGGCAAAGTCGATTCCCACATTTTGGAAACACCGCGTCGGTTGTACTCTTGGTGAAGGAAGATTGCCCATTAAAGGCTGACAAACAACCGGTTTTACCTTAAAACATGCTATGCATTTAGATAAACGCGACCGAATTAAGTTACGGATGCCAAGTATCCAATATCTACGCTGAATAATCGATTGAAGAGTACGAGGACCACAGTGTAAGTAATTGACATGAAAGTGGTCTATGATCAACAATGATAGGCGTGAAGCCTTTGGCAACAATACGGGATGTTTTACAGTTGCCGGTAGATTAGCGTGCTTTAGACGGCCCCCCACTCGCAGCAATCCCGCATCATCAATAAATGGACTCAGTTTTTTAACGGATTTTGTGGCTTTGACTTCATCTGTAAGTTGAAGTTTTTGTTCATGTCGAACCACATAGACGATAGACTGCTCCAGCTCTGATACGCTCAGGAAATTCTTAGTTTTAGAGTTTCGTTTGAATGCTGCTACAGCACGCAGACACCAAGCTAGCACACGCTGGACGCGGGATAGCGTGGAGTAACGGTCTAACAGTCCACCAATAAAGTCCAACTCAGCAGAGCTAGTATCCGTTTGAGATACATGAGCAGTAGAGCGCAACTCGGGTACGGAATCTTGTGCTTCCCACTTGCACTTTACTGGCCAAGTGGAGGAATCGTTAGCGAGCCAATTTGGACCTGACCACCACGTACAACATGTCGCTAGCTGTGAACCGCTAAGACCTCGACTGCAATGATCGGCAGATCGGCATCAACTGATACATCGTCGATGATTTTCGCAACGCGATGGGAAACAAAAGTCTTCAGTTTATGAGGTTCCGTGTGCAACCATGCTAGAACCGTGTTACTATCAGTAAAGGCAATCACTTTACTGAGGGGGATTTTATCTCGCAGCAAATTTTGCATGTGCTTAAGAACTCGCCCTAGAAGGACACGCAAAGCTCTAGACGGTTAACCGTTAGTGGTTTTAGGGGTGCAACTTTTGATTTTGCAATCAACAGATGCGTGTTAAAATGGTTGGCACGAACTGTCCTCAAGTATACACAACATCCATATGCCTTTGAAGAGCCATCACAAAACCCAATCAATTGGTAACTCTTGGCGTCATCATGTGTAACTCTACGAGTCAGTTTAATCTGTTTAACATGTTGCATTTCAGAGATAAAGTTATGCCATTGGTGAGCGACCTCAGGTGGAACGGGTTTGTCCCAACTTAGCTGAAGGCGCCACATGTCTTGAAGCAATAGTTTGGCTATTAGAACAACAGGAGTGAGCCAACCAATTGGGTCGTAGATGCGAGCGGTATTTGATAATATTGCACGCTTTGTTAAATTTTAATTGAACCCGGACACTGAATATTTAAAGAAGTCTTCTACGGGGTCCCACTGTATACCAAGAATTTTAAGGATATGGTTGTTATTTTCGTCACAAAAAGCCCTAGGTACTTGACAATGTTCAGACGGTAGAGCTGCAATAAACTCGGCTGAATTACTACACCATTTACGCAGCTCAAATTGCGCACAGCCCAGTAGTTTAATAAGTTCATCTTTGAGCTCAAGTGCCTGTTTAAGAGATGGCGCTCCGGTTGTTATGTCGTCCATAAAAGTATCATGACGTATAACGTGAGCCGTTTGAGGATACTCAGAAGCATGATCGACCGCTAATTGATGCAGAGTACGAATGGCTAAGTATGGTGAACTAGTCACACCGTATGTCACGGTATTTAATTCGAACTCACGCACGGGATCAGCTGGAGAGTTTCTCCACAACACGTGTTGCCACCCTCGATCTTCCTGACGTAAATCTATATTGCGATACATTTTCGAAATATCGGATGTGAACACTATTGCGTGAAGACGAAATTTTGTCAGCACATCAACAATGTCATTTTGAAGCTTAGGCCCAGTGTACACGATATCATTTAAAGATTTTCCGTTCGTCGTTCTGGCACTTGCATCAAAAACGACACGTAGTTTTGTCGTAGTACTCTCAGGGCGGAGTACACAATGATGCGGAATTACAAATTTGCCTGACCCAACGTCTGCGGGTTGCATATGGCCCAGATCGGAATATTCAGTCATAAAATCAGAATAGTCCCGTTTTAACTCTACATTGCGCTCAAGTCGCTTTTCGAGTTTGAATAAGCGTGATTTTGCCATCTCGAAAGATTTACCCAGATCATCACAAGGCTTCTTCCGTAACAAAGGAACGACGTAACGACCGTCAGGTTTACGTGACACAAGAGTAGAGTAGAGTTCTTCGCATTTAACGTCTTCGGGGTTCGATATAAATGTTTTCGGTGGTTCTTCGACCTCCCAAAAACGCTTGACCACGTCATTCAAAAGCCGGGTGGAAGTAACGAGGGAAGAAACCATAGGTGGAGGGTGACAGCTGTGATCAATTTTGCCAGTGAGCACCCACCCAAAGACACTATGTAGAGCGACTGGTAAACCAGGACCTATCTCTAGGCGTTGGCCATCATAAATTTTATGGAATAGCTCTGCGCCCAGCAGCATGTCTATATTAGTGGGTTTGTCGAACTGTTTGTCTGCTAAAAATAGATGTTTAAAATTTTCACGAACCTCAGAAGGTAATTCTACAACAGGCATTTTACTTGTTATTGTATTCATTATTATGGCATTAATAGTGAAGTTTGGACTATCAGAATCCGTTGGCATTACCACGCATGAAGTTTCACCCTTTATTTGATGCACTACATTTTGTCCTTAACCTGCCACAGCTAAATTGTAGCGGCGAATGGGCAACCCTGAACGTTGAGCGAGTGATAACGTCATAAAACTATTCTGAGCTCCACTGTCAATAAGTGCGCGGGCGGTAGTATACTGAGCGGCAACACCGCAACCACGCACGCGCACTACACATGTGCCGAGCAAAACGAGAGCACGACTATGACCAACGTGAGCGCTGGTAGTCACGGAGCTCGCAGTCGAGGTCAAGTCGTCAACCGTAACTACTGTTTTGTCGCTAGTCTTGTCAGTGGAGCAACACGGAACAGCAGCAATGGTAGTGTTATCGTGGAGCAACGAATGATGACGCTCACCACAAGTTGAGCATGTAATTTTTGAAAAACATTTTTTTGTATTATGATTTAAACGTAAGCAATTCATGCAAACATTTTTATTAGACACTAAGCCGTATCTTTCAGAAATATCAAGTTCTTGAAACTTCGGACATTTGAAAAGCGCATGTGCCGCCCCGCAACATAGACAATCAGCTGTTTTATTTGAAGCATTTGAAGCTATGGCAGTGTTCGACGGCAACGATATAGATTTATAGTATTGTTTATTATTGTGACTATTTCGTGTCCCGGTGGCACGTACATTATTTTTATACAACTGTCCCGATTGAAATCCAGACCCGGAACAATTGCCCGATTGACTAACCTCTAGAACTTTAACATAACTTTGTAAAAAAATTAACAAATCAGAAAAGGTAGGAATTTGTTCCCCGTTTTGCATTTCAAAACGTTTACGTGTATCAGAATCTAAAACACGCGCAGCTAAATAAAATAAAATGAACTCATCTAATTCCTTAATTTTCATAGCTCTAAGAGCATTAACGGTTTCATTCAACACATTGGTTAAATTACGTAAATCGGCATAATTACTGGACTTCAAAGGAATGAAGCAACAAATTTTATCTAAGTACGTTGCGGCCAAAATTCGTTTGTTTTGGAACCGCTCGATAAGTGCGTCAAAAACAATTTGGTAGTTATCAGAGGTAACAGGCACTCCTTTTGCGATTGACAACGCTGAACCCGAGAGACACATAACAAATCGTCAACAAATAATGAAACTTTTCGATTGACCTTATATTATTGTTTTCATGTACAAGTGTGGAAAATGTATCGAAGAAAGTTTGCCAATGTTCAATGTTTCCATCAAATTTCGGCAGCTCGAGTTTCGGTAAGCGTGCTTGCGCGTATGGTTTCGTACTATGGTATGAAAATCCGGAAGTCAAACTCGGATCCGGGTCGCATTGCGGTTCGGCTCGAGTGCGACCCTCGCTTAGAGCAGCCCTGGCGGCATCGACGGTGTAGTACATGTCGTCAAACGCAATCACGGGCTTCATATCAACTATATCTTCCGGCTTTAATTTTAACTTTAAATCGTTTATTTGATTGGTATACTCCAAGAATTCTTTACGCACTAACTCAATACGCTTAAACCTAGACTCGAATTGAGAGGCAGAAGTTGTATCCGTTTGGATATTCTTCGATAAATCACATAGTATTTGAATTTCTCGAAATGCATATTCCCTTTGAATAGTAAGCAACTTGAGTTGTCTCTCAATTTCACTAGCGTTCGACTTTGCCTTATCTGTCATTATGTTTGAAATTATAACCAATAAAACCGTAAATTTAAAAACAAACCTACTTTTTAACTAATCAATAATAACGCTATTAATAGGTATATATTATAACTACACCCATTGAAACAACGTATCAGTATTGAATATGTGGAGTATAATTATTCACCTACTACCTCCGTGTTTAAGTACAACGAACGGCACATAACGAGTAATTGTAATTTATGCAATCGACAGAGAATAATTCTCCCTAATTATAAAATTATATATCAAATAAATTTAATAAATTACTTCGTATTATCTATATCGTTAAAATTAAGGCAATTAAAGAAGTACCTTATCAAATTTTACTTGTAAAAGTTTTTTTTTTTAAGCTGAATTGCTATGAACTGTAATTTTGGAGTTTTCAAATGAATTGAACCCAAAATACCATAGGAAATTCGCGCTCGTACGGACCACTTGTTAACAGTTAGAATAGAAATTGCACTGATTGAACTCCGTTTTTGTAGTAATCGCGACACTTCTACTTGAAATAAAAATAAAAAGAATTTAATTTGGAATTGCTACTTAATTTACCTACAGTGAGAGAAAATTAGTCTGGCCCACCAGGAAGGGTGAATGAAATAGGTAAACTCACGGTTAGCGGCAGCGGCGATCAACTTCAACTTGGCTTCAACAATATCTTCGGATGAGGAAGGTTTCAGTCTTCCTTGACCACACTCCTACGTGATTATATAATCTATGCACACAGCTGGGTCGACGCGGCACACTCACTAACTCTTAATTACATTGATTTTATTTTGGAAGGTTTAGACAAGAACAGCCATTACCGATGCAGTTCGTCTTGAGTCTTGATTACATGTGTGTATCGATCGCGTCGACTTCTCTTGCAGACGCTTTTGTTTGCCAACAGATGGCGCCATAAGTTTTGTTTCGCATATAATTGGAAGGAAGGATGCGATAGAAAAGTAAGGAAGGCAAGCCAGTACAGCTTGTGTTATGGGTACTAGACAACTGATAAACATACTTATATATTTCTAAATACATAAATATTATAGATAAATTACACTCAGACACAGAACAAATGATCGTGCTCATCACACAAACATTTGTCCTGGCTGGGAATCGAACCCACGACCTCCGGCATAGCAGTCAGGGTCACTAACCACTAGACCAACAGGCAACAATAAAACGCAGTTTTATTTTATAACCTTACACTATTGAAAATAACGATCAAAACAAGTATTTGAAGTAACACGCCTGATACACGCCTATTCACTCAAAACTAATAACACAGATGATATGCAACATAACCAAGTATTACGAAAATTTGACATTACACAATACATAAAACACGATTTCGTATAAAACCATGATATGTAACCAATATAATGACACCCATGATGAAAAATTTGATACCTGTTGCAGCCGCCATCTTGGATTTACATTTCGACAGTACTTTCGGCTTCAACACCCTCGAAACCCATGAAAATGACACCCATGATGAAAAAATTGGTACCTACTTCAGCCGCCATCTTGGATTTACATTTCAACAGCACTATCGGCTTCAACACCCTCGAAACCCATGAAAATGACACCCATGATGAAAAAATTGTTACCCATTGCAGCCGCCACCTTGGATTTACATTTATAGACAGCACTATCGGCTTCAACACCCTCGAAAACCATGAAAATGACACCCATCATGAAAAAATTGGTACCTAATTCAGCCGCCATCCTGGATTTACATTTCGACAGTACTATCGGCTTCAACACCCTCGAAAACCATGAAAATGACACCCATTATGAAAAAATTTATATCTATTGCAGCCGCCACCTTGGATTTACATTTCGACAGCATAATCGGCCTCAGCACCCTCGAAAACCATGAAAATGACACCCATGATGAAAAAATTGGTACCTACTTCAGCCGCCATTTTGGATTTACATTTCGACAGCACTATTGGCTTCAGTACCCTCGAAAACCATGAAAATGACACCCATGATGAAAAAATTTATACCTATTGCAGCCGCCACCTTGGATTTACATTTCGACAGCATTATCGGCTTCAGCATCCTCGAAAACCATGAAATGACACCCATGCTGAAAAAATAGATATCTATTGCAGCCGCCATCTTGGATTTACATTTCAACAACCCTATCAGCTTCAACTCTCTCGAAAACCATGAAAATGACACCCAAGATGAAAAAATCTATACCTATTGCAGCCGCCACATTGGATTTACATTTCGACAGGACTATCGGCTTCAGCACCCTCGAAAACCATGAAAATGACACCTATGATGAAAAAATTGATACCTATTGCAGCCGCCATCGTGAATTTACATTTCGACAGCACTATCGGCTTCAGAATCCTCGAAAGCCATGAAAATGATACCTATGATGAAAAAATTTATACCTATTGCTGCCGGCACATTGGATTTACATTTCGACAGCACTATCGGCTTCAACACCCTCGAAAACCATGAAAATGACACCCAAGATGAAAAAATTGATACCTATTGCTGCCGCCATCTTGAATTTACATTTCGACAACCCTATCGGTTTCAACACCCTCGAAAACCATGAAAATGTCACCCATGACAAAAAAATTGATACTACTTACTTTTAGTACGTACTACTATTATTTATTCTGTGCTTTTAAAATATTGTAAAAAAAATTCTCATTATTATTATAATCAAGTATTTAAGAAATTTGGTTATTCTAATATTGTGTATTTGTACAGCGATCTTGTTGAGCCGCTGCAAACAACCCAAACAATGTCCACTCACGACGGCGACTGACGCCGAACTGAGTGAGTGAGTAAACTACTCTGTGGATGTAGCTCCCCATTTACAGAAATAATTTACATACAAGGCTACCAAATCAACGAAAATTTCGCCATTTTGGAGCCGAAAAAAATTAATTATAGCTAAACAAAACAAAATTACACTGCCATTTACATTCAGTGGCTTCTCACATGATAGATGAAGAGATTAAAAAATAGATTGAGTTAAACAATTGATATTTTCAAAAGTTATCGTGTTTTTATTTTTTTTAAATAAATATATTTAATTTATTTAAAAATAGCAATTAATCGATTTAAAAAAAATATTAATAAGTTCAACAATCATTTTATCTTTCTAACAATGTGCTTTTTATATCATTTATATGTATAATATGATTGCTAGATACGATTTTATTCGATAAAACGTTGGAATCTTAATTTTTAGGCGATAGTAGAACATACCTTGCGCTTTCGCTTAAGGCATGCAATAATGTGTCTTACCTAGTTTGAAGAGCACCACCAGCGCTCCCTCAATTGCGTGCACTATCCCAGTCCCCACTAATCCCAGCATCATTACACCCAACATCACTAGAAAACACACTACGGTCGATAATACGACACACGTTTCGCCTCTAAACTAGGCATCCTCAGGTGAAGTAGACTGCGATGAATTAACAAATAAATTAATTAGACTTGCGTGACGAGTGCGACGTATGTTCCCAGCGGGTCCACGACGGCCAGTCCACTGCTGGTACCTGCAGATCTCCACGCCTCACTCGGATCCGTCTCCGCTTCATTCAGCCACTGCAACACGCTGCCACGAAACAGAACATTATTGTTGCATCTTGTTACACATCTCTGTGGAAACAGGAAGGCTTCGGTAGTTGACGTCAATAATAAATGCATAATTAGAATGTATTACATAACATTTATATTATTTATATTATATACAAAATTAGAAAGTGTTAGAAGGAAACTGGAACTGGAGATGAGTAGCAGTCTCTTCCTGATAACAACTCAAAATAATAAAAAATTGTGTTTATCAGCTCCTACGCGCAACTCGAGTTAACTTGATAAAGTCTATTCATATAATATTTTTTAAAGAGATGAAGAAAAAAAATCAAATTGGTCACATATTGCATCACTTAGCAGTATTATAGGCTTTACTTCGAATAAAAAAAACATTAGTGTGTGTGTGTTGAACTAAGATTTTCCCCTGTTTGTCATAGTTTTTTATTATTTAGAGTTGTTCTTTATATTGCTGCCCGCTCATCTCTTGTTTCAGTTTCCCTCTGTCGTCTCTTACGACACCCACGGGAGGGTATTTTTACGCCACTATTACACGGTTTATTCCTAGTCGTCTAATTTCGCTATCATAAGCTGTGCGTTAACACTGTTTTACACACATTGTTTTTATTGTTGGCAATCCATCATTTGGCACGATCCTGACACACCTCTCTCGCTTCCTCCACATCCATATACCTACGCATACACGCTCATCGGTTAAAAGTACTCGTGATTTGACCCATTTTCAATATATCGCCAATTTTTTCTATAAACTTTCGCCTAGGGCGTCCCTTCCCGACTCTGCCGTTCACCTCTGCAATATAAATTTGCTTTGTCACTCTTTCCTCATTCATTCTTTCTACATGACCAAACCACCGAAGCATTCCTTTCTTAATCCTGGTCACAACATCATCTTGCAAACCACACTCTTCTCTTATCACACAATTTCTCACTCTGTCATTCAGATTCATCCCTAACATACTCCTTAATGACCGCATTTCTACAGCATTTATTCTACTCACGTGTTTCTTTTGCCACACCCAACTTTCACTACCATACATTAAAGTAGGTACTAACACAGCATTGTGAATTGCCATACGTGCCTTTTTGGACACATTCTGACTTTTCCCAATAGAGTGTAGAGCCCCATTCACTCTATTTCCTGCATTCACTCGTCGTTCTTTATCCTTATCATATCTACCATCCCTGCTAAACACACATCCCAAATACACAAACTCATCTACTTGCTCGACCAACTCCCCTTCTATTCTTATTTCACATATCACTTTACTTTCTTCTCTTTCAAAAACCATAACTTTCGTCTTACTTGCGTTCACTTTCATTCCCTTTTCTTTTAATGTCCTGTTCATTAATGTAACCATGAATTGTAGCTCGGCCGCCGACGACGCAAGTATGACTTGATCATCGGCGTACAAAAGGCATTTGACGGTTAACTCACCCATTCTTAACCCGCATTCTTCTACTTTCAAATTTTCCAAACAACTGTCCATAAATAGGTTGAACAGCCACGGGGAAGCTACACAGCCCTGTCTGACACCTTTATGGATGCCAAACCAGTCCGAGTAGGCCCCGTTGACCACACACAAGCATTAGAGTCCCTACACAGAGACTTCAATGCCTGTATCAACCCAGCGCTCAACCCAAATGAGTTCAGTGTTTGCCATACCCCTGTCCACTCTGTCATAAGCCTTCAAGTACCTTAGCATACAGTTTTCCCACAATGCTAAGAAGGCTTTGCACCAGTCTTCCGGTACCCGCTTCAGTTTCCAAAATAAATTAAACAAGGTGCACAGCAGACCTGCAACCACACCCTCTCCAGCCCTTAGCATTTCCAGAGATACTCTATCATATCCGGCTGCCTTACCTGCTTTCATACTTTTCATTGCTTTCATTATTTCATCTATACTTATATCTCTATCTATTTCCTCTCCTTTCGGAATTTCTATTTCATTTAATACATACGTCTCATCACTCATAAACACGCTTTCAAAGTATTCCTTCCATCTCCTTAAACTCAAAACTTCGTCATTCAGAATACAGCCGTTCTGGTATCGTATAGCATTCATTCTAGGCTGTTTTGAAAGTCCCCTAGCAGTTCTTACGAGTTTCCAGAACATTTTAATGTTTGCCTGGAAGTTATCCGATATTCTTCTATCATTCTTATCCGTTCTTTCTTGCTTTTTCCTTTCAATAACTTCTTTTACTCTCTTATTTAGATTTCTAAAGACTGCCTTTTTCCTTTCAATATCATCCTTCATACTGCTAGAATTACTAGCCTTGGTTGCTAGTAAATCTAGCCATGCTTTCTTCTTTGCTTCAACTTCCATCCGTACCTCATCATCCCACCATGACGTGTTATTTTTCCTTTCATTCGTTCTCTTACTTACACCACATATTTCGGTAGCTGCATCCACCAAACCTTTCTTGACATTATACCACACAGTCTCCAAGTCTAAATCATTCATACACGATTCAGCCATACCACTTATATTTTCTCTCAATCTACATTTGAGCTTCTCTTTCACACCTTCATCTTGTAACCTCTCTGTTCTTATACGCTGTAACGCAGTAGTAGACACAGATGTCCGATGCCTCCAACATCTGAAAAGACCATTAATTCGGCATAAGACCAAGTAATGGTCCGTCCCTACGTTAGAGCCCCGGTAAACCCTTGTATCTACCACCGCGCTCCTCATTCTTTCATCAACAATTATGAAATCTATCATACTTCTATCATCACCTCTTTCCCATGTATACGCGTGAATCTTCTTATGACGAAAGAAAGTGTTCGTCACAAAAATATTATTTTCCACACATACGGTGAGGAGGCTTTTACAATTCTCATTTATACTTTCATCACCAAACGTTCCCAATATCCTTTCATAACCAAGCCTCCTCACCCCAACCTGTCCATTAAAATCTCCTAACATCACAATATTTTCATTAACCTTGCATTTCATTAGCACCATCCTTACCAACTCCCAAAACTGCTCTCGGATATAAGTGGGCTTAGACATGTCTGGGGCGTAGAACCCTAGAACAAACAACCCTTTAAGCCCACTTTCATTCGTATCCATAGCAGTCTCGGACTTACACATTCATACTCTTTCACACAATGACCCATACTTTCTGAAAGTATGATACCGACTCCCTGGCATGCCCGCTCGGCCTCGTCTACACCAGACCAGTACGCAGTATACATACCATGTGTAGTGGCATCCTTTCCTTTCCGTTTCGTCTCATTTACACATAACACGTCTATTCCTCTATCATACATCATTTCGCATACTTCATCCGTCTTATCATTCATTCCTCCACATACATTCAAAGTAGCCAGACGGGCTTCCGCAATACACTTTTCGCCCCTCCGGGGGACAGACCGTGACGGGTGGCGAACCTCGTCGCCGGTTTTCCTCCCGGAGATTCTTCGCACCCCTGCCCCATTAAAGGGGCGCCGGGAACTCGGGGCCATTTCGTAATTTTTTTGCCTCATGGTGCGAAAGTAGGGGGTGGTATTTTTTACGCCGCTACCACACGGCGAGGAGCCGAGTCTGTTCTTTCGGCTTTGTCGCTTGTTTAGCATATATATACATACATATATATATACATATATATATATATATATATATATATATATATATATATATATATTTGTCCCAAGGAGGTGTCGGATTTATTGTCCACAAGTCTCTCTTTAATAACGTTGTAAAGATTAAGTGTGTCGACAAGGGTTGCGTACCTTATGCTCAGAATCACCAAATGGTATTCGCTGAAGGTCATACAGGTTTACGCACCAACTTTGGCAAATACCGATAAGGAGGTAGAGGAAATGTATGAGGATATATCTAGAGCCATGCATTCCTCCAAAACCCACTATACGGTGTTAATGGGATACTTCAACGCAAAGCTAGGCACAAGAGAGAACGGTAAGATGAAAGTAGGAAAATTTGGAATAGGGCAATGGAACCCAAGGGGCAAGCAGCTGGCCGAATTCATATAGAAAGAGTGACTCTCTATGATGAACTCGCGAGGGTGAAAACCTCACCTCACCGAATGGTGAGAGGCAGACCGAACCTAAGCGTTAAGCTGGAGAGGTCATGTCTAATGAAGTCAACGCCTAAATCTTTCAGCTCGAGTTACAAAACCATTTTCGGTGCCTGGAAGACTAATGAAGTGGACGATATGAATGATAAGCTCGTGGAAACTGTCCATGCGGTCGGAGCTAAGTTCTGCAAGACCCGCCGCAGAAGAACACAACAACTCTCTCATCACACTCTTAATCTCATGGCTGTTAGACGGGAAATGAAGCTGCAGTCTTCAACAGATTTGACAGCTTTCAGGAATCTGAATAGACAGATCTCCAAATGCATGCGGCGGGACTTACGCAAGTTCAATATAGCTCGTATTGAAGAAGCGATCAAGTAAAACCAGGGCTCCAAAGGCTTTGCTAGAGATCTGTCTGCCAAAAAAAGCAAACTGTCAAAGCTGAATACCGAGTGTGGCATCGTTGTTTCAGGGACACCTGAGATTTTGAGTTAGATTGCGAGATTCTATGGGCAGCTATACACATCATCGTTGGAGCCACACGCAAGGGTGAGTAACGATCCAAGAGCAAGTCTTATCCGACTCTATTTCGATGACATTCCGGACGTCAGTCTGAGCGAGATGAAAATAGCTCTCCAGCACCTTAAAAACAGCAAGGCTCCACGCGAGGATGGAATTACAGCGGAGCTTCTGAAAGCGGGTGCAAAACCGGTACTTGTAGTCCTTCAGGAGATCTTTAATTCCGTCCTCCATGGTGGCACTACTCCGAAGGCGTGGAGCAGAAGTGCGTTGGTCTTGTTCTTCAAGAAAGGCGACAACGCGCTCTTGAAGAACTACAGACCGATTTCCCTTCTGAGCCGCGTCTACGTGCTGTTTCCGAGAATCATTACGAATCGTCTCACATGCAGACTCTACGACTTCCAGCCTCCCGAACAAACCGGTTTCCGAAAAGGCTTCAGCACTACATACATACCTCTCGGCAAATTGTACAGAAGTCCGAGTCCAATTTGCCACTGTGTCTGGCGTATGTAGACTGTGTAGACAGTATATGTAGACAGTTGAAATTTGGGCGGTACTGCAGTTCCTTTGGCGTTGCCAAGTTGAATGTAGATATATCGAAGTGCTCAAGTGCTTCTACAGTAGCGCTTCGATGGCTATCCGAGTACAGAACCAAAGTACGAAACATGTCCATCTGCAGAGAAATGTAAGACAGGGTGAAGTTATATCCGCGAAACTCTTTACCGCTGTATTGGAAAACGTTTTCAAGCTTCTGGATTGGAAAGGCTACGGTATTAACATCAACGGCGAGTACATCCCTCACCTTCGATTTGCCGATGATATAGTCCTTATGGCAGAATCGCTGAAGGACCTAAGCACTATGCTCAATAACCTCAATAGTGCCTCCTAACGGATAGGTCACATAGACAAAACAAAAATTATGTTTAACGTCCATGTTACACCTATGCCGGTAGTTGTTGGGAGCACTAAGCTCGAGGTTGTTGACGAGTATGTTTACCTGGGACAAATAGTCCGACTAGGTAAGTCGAACTTCGACTGAGAGGTCAATTGACAGATTCAACTTGGCTGGGCATCGTTCGGGAAATTCCGGCGTATCTTCTTGTCAGGTATAACTCAAAACTTGAAAAGGAGACTGTACAACCAGTGTGTGTTGCCAATAATGACCTATGGAACTGAGACGTCGTCTTTCACTGATGGACGGATGAGCTCAGCGGGCTATGTAGAGGGCTATGCTTGGAGTTTATCTGCGTGATAAACTTAGAAATTACCTATCCGCAGTAGAACCAGAGTGATCGACATAGACCAACGGAGTAGTAAGCTGAAGAGGCAATGGGCCGGCCATATAGAAGAACCGACAACCGATGGGGAAAAAGATTCTCGAGTGGCGGCCTCGTACTGGCGGACGAAGTATAGGGCCATTAGATGGAGTGACGACCTGGTAAGACAAGACATGCAGGAAGTCGATGGATGCAGGTGGCTTAGGACCGTGCTTTGTGGCATTCCTTGGGGAAAGGGCTGGAATGATGATGATGATGGTACATATATATATATATATATATTTATATTTTGTTTGAAGATTGCTGCAGATGTTTGTGGGCAGCAGTAGCCACTTTCTTGGACTGTAAGTTCGTTCTGAATTTTAATTTCGTTAAAAACTACCGATGCGCACTGGCTTCGCACGGTTGATTTGTGGATCACAGCGCCACCTACCGGGTCCATTTGTGAATATAAATCACTAATGGACCTACTAACACACGCAAAAATTTCATCAAAATCGGTCAAGCCATTTACGAGCTTTTGCGATACAAACGCACGGTACGCACAGATGGACGGGAATCGCGAGTGTCGCTGAACTGTTTTGGCTCGTGAAGAATGGAGCAGAGTTCAAGCTGAGCTGAGTCGGGAAGGCACCAAAAGAAGAATATATATATTTAGTAGGGATGATGGTTCCTAGCTATATTAAGATGCGATAGGTGACGTAGTCTAGTTTATCATAAATTTATATTATATTTATGAACTAAAATGATTCAAATTTACAATATTATATAAGCGTCTCCCACACACTAGCGGCTTGCGGTGGCGGCTATCTACGAGCCGCGTCTCTAGCCGCTGCAAAAACACACCACCGCGGTCGCAGTGGCGGTCTGAAGCTTCATTCACTGTTGTGTATGTGCTACGATCGAACGTCAGTCAATATGGCTAACCGTGACGATGTCTTTTTATTCTTTTCATATTTAGTAATATTATCCCATATTTTGTTTTTAATTCTAATGCTTTCGTAATGCAGGTGTGAAGTATCATAAAGTTTTGGATAATTTTGCAGTGTTTCTATTAAAAACTCTGTATTTAGCGCCATGTTGCACGCGGTACACGCGGCCTGTTGTAAAAATTAGCAAGTGAGCGCGCTGCGGCCAGCGGCCGCAGCTAGAGGCCGCAGTCCGCTGGCGGGCGGCGGGGCGGCGGGCCGCACGCGCTGCAGCCTCACTCACATGGCGAGCGAATACAAGTGGCCGCCACCGCAAGCTGTTTCTGTGTGGGAGATGCTTTATGCTGGTTGGGCGTTTAAAAAAAATTACACTTTGGATTTGATAAGTGGCCTCGTATTGATTAATTTTAAATTTACATTGTAACAACATGGAGTACAAAATTCATATCCCACTTATTTGAAAGCATTTGTTGGAATAGCTAGTTATTTATAGGAATATAACATTTAATAATTTCCATAATGTCAAGTTTGCGAAGCAAATAAGAATTATTTTTGGGGAAATAGTTGTGTCATGTATGAAACATTGAACTATTTTAATATACGTAGCAAAAATAGTAAATGATTTTTTTTATAGGAGACGGGGCAAACGAGCATACGGCTCACCTAAATGTAAGTAACTACTACTGCCCATGAACAACTGCGGGAATTGAAGATGCGTTGCTGGCCTTTTAAAAAGGAGTAAACTCTTTTTTTAGAGATCCCTAAGTCACATCAGTCCGGAAAAATCGCCAGTGGTAATTATTCCACAAGCTCGTATCCAGAAGAAAACTCCTACTAAAACGTACAGTGGTAGACCGCCAAAGATCCAGATGGTGTGGATGATATCGGGAGATTTGCCGCGATGTACGTTCGTGAAATTTTACGGCTGGGATTAATCCAAACAATTCAAGAGCACTCTGCGTGGTAAATGCAAAAGAAACTGCAAGGGGATACAACATCTCTTCGCAGCGCCAGTGTATAAAGCCGATCGGAAAGGACTCGGGCGTCGACGATTCGAGCCGCTCTACGCTGGATGCGGTCAAATGGAAAGAACTGGCACTAAGGAGCCCTAGCCCAGAAATGGAAACAGTATTCCATGTGAGATGATCATCATAATGGGTTTACTAACCCATGGACTAGGTGAGGTTATTTTAATTTCAATAAAAAGTCGATTCTTTATGATGCCCCGGCTCCCCCCAGTGCCCCCGCGGCCCCCTGAAATCCCCCACTCCCCCCACGTACGCACGCAGTGAGCTAGTGTGCGGGTGACGTGTTGTAGTGTGAGCGCAGTACCTGGTGGTGTTGGCGAGCAGCGCGCGGCGCAGCAGCTCGCCCCCCGCGGCCCCCCGCGCTCCCCCCACGTACGCACGCAGTGAGCTAGTGTGCGGGTGACGTGTTGTAGTGTGAGCGCAGTACCTGGTGGTGTTGGCGAGCAGCGCGCGGCGCAGCAGCTCGCCCCCCGCGGCCCCCCGCGCTCCCCCCACGTACGCACGCAGTGAGCTAGTGTGCGGGTGACGTGTTGTAGTGTGAGCGCAGTACCTGGTGGTGTTGGCGAGCAGCGCGCGGCGCAGCAGCTCGCCCCCCGCGGCCCCCCGCGCTCCCCCCACGTACGCACGCAGTGAGCTAGTGTGCGGGTGACGTGTTGTAGTGTGAGCGCAGTACCTGGTGGTGTTGGCGAGCAGCGCGCGGCGCAGCAGCTCGCCCCCCGCGGCCCCCCGCGCTCCCCCCACGTACGCACGCAGTGAGCTAGTGTGCGGGTGACGTGTTGTAGTGTGAGCGCAGTACCTGGTGGTGTTGGCGAGCAGCGCGCGGCGCAGCAGCTCGCCCCCCGCGGCCCCCCGCGCTCCCCCCACGTACGCACGCAGTGAGCTAGTGTGCGGGTGACGTGTTGTAGTGTGAGCGCAGTACCTGGTGGTGTTGGCGAGCAGCGCGCGGCGCAGCAGCTCGCCCCCCGCGGCCCCCCGCGCTCCCCCCACGTACGCACGCAGTGAGCTAGTGTGCGGGTGACGTGTTGTAGTGTGAGCGCAGTACCTGGTGGTGTTGGCGAGCAGCGCGCGGCGCAGCAGCTCGCCCCCCGCGGCCCCCCGCGCTCCCCCCACGTACGCACGCAGTGAGCTAGTGTGCGGGTGACGTGTTGTAGTGTGAGCGCAGTACCTGGTGGTGTTGGCGAGCAGCGCGCGGCGCAGCAGCTCGCCCCCCGCGGCCCCCCGCGCTCCCCCCACGTACGCACGCAGTGAGCTAGTGTGCGGGTGACGTGTTGTAGTGTGAGCGCAGTACCTGGTGGTGTTGGCGAGCAGCGCGCGGCGCAGCAGCTCGCCCCCCGCGGCCCCCCGCGCTCCCCCCACGTACGCACGCAGTGAGCTAGTGTGCGGGTGACGTGTTGTAGTGTGAGCGCAGTACCTGGTGGTGTTGGCGAGCAGCGCGCGGCGCAGCAGCTCGCCCCCCGCGGCCCCCCGCGCTCCCCCCACGTACGCACGCAGTGAGCTAGTGTGCGGGTGACGTGTTGTAGTGTGAGCGCAGTACCTGGTGGTGTTGGCGAGCAGCGCGCGGCGCAGCAGCTCGCCCCCCGCGGCCCCCCGCGCTCCCCCCACGTACGCACGCAGTGAGCTAGTGTGCGGGTGACGTGTTGTAGTGTGAGCGCAGTACCTGGTGGTGTTGGCGAGCAGCGCGCGGCGCAGCAGCTCGCCCCCCGCGGCCCCCCGCGCTCCCCCCACGTACGCACGCAGTGAGCTAGTGTGCGGGTGACGTGTTGTAGTGTGAGCGCAGTACCTGGTGGTGTTGGCGAGCAGCGCGCGGCGCAGCAGCTCGCCCCCCGCGGCCCCCCGCGCTCCCCCCACGTACGCACGCAGTGAGCTAGTGTGCGGGTGACGTGTTGTAGTGTGAGCGCAGTACCTGGTGGTGTTGGCGAGCAGCGCGCGGCGCAGCAGCTCGCCCCCCGCGGCCCCCCGCGCTCCCCCCACGTACGCACGCAGTGAGCTAGTGTGCGGGTGACGTGTTGTAGTGTGAGCGCAGTACCTGGTGGTGTTGGCGAGCAGCGCGCGGCGCAGCAGCTCGCCCCCCGCGGCCCCCCGCGCTCCCCCCACGTACGCACGCAGTGAGCTAGTGTGCGGGTGACGTGTTGTAGTGTGAGCGCAGTACCTGGTGGTGTTGGCGAGCAGCGCGCGGCGCAGCAGCTCGCCCCCCGCGGCCCCCCGCGCTCCCCCCACGTACGCACGCAGTGAGCTAGTGTGCGGGTGACGTGTTGTAGTGTGAGCGCAGTACCTGGTGGTGTTGGCGAGCAGCGCGCGGCGCAGCAGCTCGCCCCCCGCGGCCCCCCGCGCTCCCCCCACGTACGCACGCCAGGCGCCCGCACTCAGCGGCTCCGCAGCGCGCACGCGCAACACACTCGAGCACCGCCACAACGCACACAGCTCTGCGCACAACACAAATTAATATCTAAATTATTTCAATAAAACAAATCATAACATAACAACACAATAAATAATAGTTAAATGAACAGATGGATCACTCTCTGATAGCAAACTTGCGAGTTTAAACTTAGTTGCAAAATCTTTAATGTTTATAATACTTTGCACGCCTCGGAAGTAACCTATGTCAAATTAGCCTACCGTTTATTTCGTAAAAAAAATTATCAGCCGCGCGTATTAAATCAAAATACACCTTACGTCCGCGTGCGGGTGTCTGTATCAAGTGATACAGACACTCGCACGCGACACTAGCCCTTCACGCGCCTTTGTTAAGACCGCTTCTACTGTAGGGTTAGATGTTGTGAGAAAACAAATTCAATTCTTTGATATTAGTTGGTATATAGTAGAATACACCGAGGTGTTATGCAATGTGCTTCTTTTGTTTTTTATTTTGTTAAAAAACACGTTACCTCGAGACTAGGATTTTCTTCTGTATAGTGTATGCAGTTAACGAACATAAATTGCAGAAGGACAAACATTTAAACCCGGAACAATTATGTGTAGGCCATACAAATACTTTTTCCGTGCGGGATTCAAACCCGGGGCCTGAAAGATTGCAACTCATTGCTATGCCACTGCGCCACGGAGCCATCAATTTAGTGTTAACAAAAACTTTATTGTTCAATGTGAAGAAAGGTAATATGCAACATCGAGGAAAATTAAGATTACAACAACGTGAACGTCTTTAAAACTCAGATAATTTACCTACTAACCATTTTTAACCAACTTCAAAAAAAGGAGGAGTTACGCAATTCAACTGCTTTTTTTATGTCAGAACTTTTTTCTAGGTGAATCGATTTTGTTGATTCTATTTTTATTTGAAAGCTAGTACTTATAATTTATACATCCCATATAAATTTCGTCAAAGACGTGTTCCAGGTGAGCGTCGCCATACCTCGCGTCTAATGCCTCTAGGAGCTGCTCGTAAATCACTTCCTTACCGAGAGCTTCCAGAACAGTTAAGGCCTGGTCACGCAGGCCTAGGGTAGAGCAGTCATGGCCTGACTTTTATTCCATACGTTCGCCTTCATGACAGCCTCGAAATGGATTTTGTAGGCCGACCAGGAAGAAGTCCCATCGAACGGCGGCACTTTGAATCCACGTAGCGAAGGTGTTGTAGCTATCACGGGAGCTGTAATTCCATCCCCAAGTTTGAGGTCGTCCAGCGTTTTCTACACGTCAGCCATCACAATGTCAACCCGATTGTTCATTCGGTTGATTCGGGTTTCAGCTTCCGACAGGCGGTTGTCATGTCGAGCAACCCTATCCTTCACCTCCCTTATCTCTTTCCCCAAGGTAGCGTGAAGGTCTTTCATGAGGAGCATCTGCTCTTCCATAACGCGCTGAAGCTTTTCTTCCAACCGACGGACCTGTTCCTCCTGTCGTTGAACCTGTTCCTCCTGTCGGCGTGCTGCTGACGGGTCGGCCTCCGTGGTCGGCAGTTGGCCCTGCGACGTCTGCGACGTTGAACCAAGAAATCTTCTCTGGTCCGTCTCCTGCTGGCGTTGACTTCGGGTACGGATACCCTCTGTGTCGTCCTTAAAGTAAAATCGGCATGATTTGATCCCACTTCTGACACCAATTGTTACGAGCTTGGGATTTGAGACAATTAAAAACTGCCAAGTTAATTACCAAAATTGACACTTTAATTACAGAACACTAACTACAACTTAAAACCACACTAATAACAAAACACAATTGTACTACTCATCACTTTAGTTCGCAGTTGTAACACTTCGAAGTATTCGCTTATATCGCTAATTCATCTCTGACCAGGTCGCGGTCTATACCAGCTTTATATAGAGCCTCAGATAATTTTCAGAACCTTTTACTGTAGAAACATCTAGAATGTTCGACTACATACCGGTTCCAACCGACTAGGTGTCGATAGTTCTAGAAAGTTCTTTCATGGAAAATTCTAGAAGGATCTTGAGTCTCCTAGTTCTGCTACTCGATACTAGAGGGCGCTAGTGGTAACAAGTAATGCCTGGTACATTGCCATGTATCAGGCACTAATGGTGGCGCTCAACAATACTATATGCGTCCATCTGCTGGGGACGCCAAGGGCAAGAAAATGTCAAAATATTATAATAAACTCAATGTAACAATAAAATTTATCATTTCAGACATTATATAGCTGTATTCTTAAGATCTACCAAGTTGTGCATGTGCGTGAGTGAGAAGACTATATTATATTATGTAATAACGTATGATGTACCGGCGCTAGTGTAGCGCTGCCAGTCACGCAGCAAGTTCACCGTCTCACTCGCACTCACACCGGTCTCGCTCGCACCACTCGCTGCAGTCGCCTCACTGCTTCTGCAAGCAATACATTGCTCGTTCTTCATTAAATATAAACAATTAAAATTAAATTATACACTGTTTCTTTTAAACTGGACAGTATGGGTGAAGTCTGGAATTACAGGTTCAAAAAACTGACTTAAAAATGAAAGCTTACCGAAGTACGAAATTAAAATACCTATATTAAAACAAATATATTGTAATTATTAAAACAAATATAAAAAAACCGGATATAATTAACAACACTATGAATATTATAATGCGAGCTGATGACTCGAAATACTAATTATGCATAATACATAGCTTGCTTGCTATGTACATTTTCACGCCTGTCATTTTGAGGGGTTAGCAGAGACTACGGACTTCCATTTGACACAATCTTGATATACCCTCTCACTCCTTTTTCCTTAAATTATTTTTACATATAAAAATTGGAACAAGCTAATCTAAAAAAGAATATTATCCACCTAGTAGGAAGAAGCTACCTTTAGGAGACTGTCCCTTAAATATAAAACTAAAGCTTTAACCAAATTATCAATAAGCAATAATGGTGAAATTGTCTTTTACAACTTACTCGGCATAGTCAATTGCAGGCTGCAGGACCTGGGCCCACGGCAGCGTCCCGTAACGTACGTGCAGGCCAGCCAGCGCTGCCACCAGCCGTGGTGCAGTTGCGTTCCCGCTGCCAGCCTCTTCAAAGCTGTCACCCGCCTCCAGCACGCTGTCATCTGACATCTGCCAACCATCCCCTACCGCGCCCCACTCCGCCAGTGTGGGCGGCTCGTCATGCGCTCTTCTGTACTCCCAGTACAGCAGTGCACCACTCCTGTAACGTACCGTATCTGGCGTTCAGTGCATTGTGACATAACTCGACGACGGAGAAAAGTGTGAGACGTCTGGTACAGGGATCACTAATCCGTCTGTCAAAGGGGACCCATGTCAATTACTTCGAATCGTAAATATTTCGCAATTTCTTTGAATCTATCGCTAAACATAGTTTCAATAAAATATGGAATGCCCCATGTCTAGGCAGGAAAATTTGCAATCAAAACGCAGTATTTAACGCGCGCTTTTGGCCTCGATATCAAGGGCACCTTCCCTCTCCCCGCCCCCTCGGCCGCCGGACGGGTCGGCGTGGCTCTTCTCGCGAGGTAGTAGGATTTTTCTTGCGAACTATACGGACGTATTTTTTCGCGCCTAAACTTGCTAAGGGAACAATCCGCGTAAATCGTTGCAATAACGGTATCGTTATTAGAACGTACTAACTCGGTGAAATTCGCGCGCAACTATCAAAGTGATTTACATCTGAAGGACTACCAGAGTAGCCGTCCCATTTGGTGACAACCCCTTACGAGTGCCTCCAGAAGGGTGAAGTTCCGGGGATACCAGCGCGTGCCTTCTCCCGGACGTCGTCGAGTCATCCAGATCGGTTCCCGTCAACATACCAGCACACACAATTACACCTACACTCACAACACCGCACACACCAAGCACAACTTTCATCAGCCGGGCCGGTCGAGGAGAACCGTCTGCGCTCCTGGGGCAGGTAAGTGCATTTATTCTAGTGACCTTTCCCCTCGTGTGTTCATTAGAAACCTTTGACCCTCGGCGTAGGAACGCCCGACCTGCATCTGCCCGTGGCTCCTTCGTCTATGGGCCGCGAAGGATCCAACTCCTGTTGAGGCAGGGCAGCTGTTGGCCGTAACACCCCATATTTTACTCCATAAATCATTTACAGATATATTTCTCGCTACAAAACAACCTCTAACGTACAGAATGGAAATGAATTTTTCTAGTTCTTCTAAGGAAATATACTATGAATGACCAAGCCAACGATTTACTTCGGCCTCAGTACAATTTTTTATGTGTCGTAAAATTGTATCATCTATCAAAAGTTTCCAGGCTGTCATGAATTTCTCTCCAACTTGCCTCCGTGCATAGCTGGTAGGTCCTGGCTGTTCAGTCACAACATTATGCCTTCCTCGGCGACCTGCCACCTCTGAGCCATTTTCAAATATGGATTTCCACAATATTCCACCTGGTGACATCATATTATTAAGTGGCGAAGCTTGCGAAGTCACTTATTGATTTCACGATGTCTGTCCGTCTGTCCCACGATTATCTCGAGAACGGTTTTGAATTTTCAAATTCTGTTTTCAGCAATCGATTACTGATCACCCAGGCATCTGAACCTCCTATTTTGAAACTGATTGCTCAACGGCAACCGTTAGAAACCGCTACAAAGCTGATTGCTTCGCCACTTTGCTATGCTGTTATCTTGCTAGGTTTATTTTGGTTGATATTTCGTGAAAATGTCTCAGCGTATCAGTAATGCAGAAATATTGACATTGTTGCAATCGTTGCAATCAATAAGTGACTTCGCAAGCTTGGCCACTTAATAATAAAATTGACTCATTGAGAAAGCGTATATTAATGAACGTATAAACTAAAATATTTAGGTATGTGAAACAAGATCAGGCAATAAAATTAAAGTCAATATAATAATCCCACTCACAAGGTAGGAGTAGGACAAATGACCCTAGCCGTCATTGTATGTGAATGTTATTTTTATTCATATTTGTATAAGCATATTACCATGTCAATACTTTTGTTTATAAAACAATCGTAATTCATTAAAAGTCACGAAGTACAAAACTGTATAAACAAACAGTGACAAAATAATCAGCGCTGTAAGTTCAAATACGGGTCAAAAGACACTTGCCGCCTTGCTAGTTAAACCGCAAAGAAATTAAAAATAAACACAACAACACTCAATGTATATTGGAGGACTGCACACGTTACTTAATAATTTTGTATTTCAAATACATAGTATATCGGTCTGACGGCGTCATTGAAGCAACGGATCCCAAGCAAATTGTAACACCCAGTAATAGAAATTAGGATGTTTCTTAATTTCAATACCGTCTTTAATTATCCTTGGTAAACTAGTATCGTCATGTTTATGCAGGCCGCGAGCCTTGTGTCAGATGAAACTGTAAGAGACAGAAAGATGAAACTGCGGGCCAGAGAAGTGACTTCAGGATGAAACTGCAGACTAACGAGAAGTCAGCAGCGAATGTTGAAGATGCCTGAGGGGCGGTTTTGGGCTTTGGGGCCTGGAAAGTTAGGGCCTGGCCTTGCGGCAGCCGCGCTTACAATCGCCGGGGGCTTAGCACATGCGTTTGATTTGGGTGCTGAGGGCATCGAGGGGCTTACGCCTTGCCCGGAAGCCCCTTTAACGGGGGCGGGTTTGGCGTTAGCCTGAGGGGGCGCGGGTTGTGATACCGAGATCGGTGTGATTGAAGAGGCAGGTTGCCGAGGACGAGACCAGCTGGCGCTAGCCGCTCGTCCGCGCCGGTTTACACCACCGCGCCTTTTCCTGCGAGGCTCTTTGGTACACCCGCGATAATTCGCTGGCTGTCCCGTTTCGCCGCACAGAACGTAGCTCGGAGGGCCTTCCGATTCGAGCATTCGGGTGCACTCGGGTGACACTTAACGCATCTGGGCCGGGCAAAACAGTTTTTGGCCGAGTGGTCATAAAGTTGGCATCGGTGGCATTGACCAACGATGCCCCTATTTCGGGGGGCTTCTACTGCATTCCCCGTAAGATTGCAGACTAGGCGGACGTTAAAAATGTCTTTGCCTTCCGGAGACAAGTCCAAGATGACTAAGCAAAGGTCTAGGTATCTTTTTTTATCGGTTGGGTGGTGCATTCTGTGCACTTCCCTAACCGGGAAGCGATTTAATATCGCTGACGACGTGCTCGGTTTCAAGATCCTTGGGGAGCCCGCGAACGACAACTCTGAGATTTCGTTCCACCGCGAGGGCGTAGGTGTGAAAGCTCAGTTTCTGAGCTTTCAAAGTGCGGAAGTCATCCGTCCTCGAGACGTGGATACGAATGCCCTGGCCACCGTTATGGACCTTAGGGCAGAAGATTTTTTTGGAGTTTATCCATTTGGATAAGTTGCTCCATCGAGTTTGTCCTGAAATATAATTGGGGGCAGCGGCTTTACCCTGCGCTCAGAGGCCACTTTTGGGTTCGCGGCTTTAATCCCGACTTTGGCAGATTTGAGGCGCACTGAAGGCGTAGTCTTTTAACCGGAGTGGCATTAGGGATCGCTCCCTAATGCCACTCCGGCTAAAAAGACTGCGCGTGGCCGAGTGAGGTTTGTCACCCTTTTTCGCGGCGGGATGCTTACGTCTTTTGCCCGAGACTAGGATGAAGCCGTCGTCTTCGAGCTTGGCGGGGTTCGCTACGTCTAACTCCATCTCGGACCCGATTCGGCATCCGAGAAAGCCGCGGACGGCCCACGGGTGGAAAACGCGGAAGGCGCGGGGGACACGATGCCATAAACGGTGTCAACGGACACGGGGGATGCAGGTCCGGTGCTCGAAGATATGGGGTCATCGTTACGCATGATTGGACGTTCAGCAGCGGGCATCTCACGTCAAAAGTTCACCTAAACGTCGGCGCAGACTTGACTGAAAAATTTGGTGATCGTTATAGCCACCATTTTGTTAGTTTTTTACAAAACACTTGTGTATCAACCTCTCCCTCATGGTGGGGGAGGTGTGTGCTTAAAATGAACATCTATACATCCAGCGCGTTGGTACGCTAGGGTGTGTACCTGGCTGTCCCCTAAAGCGACAAGCGAACACAGTAATTTAAAACAATAGAATAGCCACCTCTGAGGCAGTGGTGTGTAATAAACTACTTACAGTTTACTGGAAATCGGTAGAGTGTGGGGCAATACTAATCACAAAACAAAGGGACAGTGGGCCGACGGGCCGGTGCAATCTGACGGCGGCAATGACGCATAAACACCATTGAAGCACTTGCGAGAATAATCCGGTTTTTGTTCTTTTGCACAAAACACGGGAGTGCATGGGCTTGACTGATGTATACGACTGCGCAGCTCGAGCGCAGATAACTCGCAGATAAATCCCACCAATTACATCAATCTGATGTAATTGGTGGGATGATTGCATGTGAACTATTAGTGGAAACGATGAAACAATTTCTCCGATGGTGATGTCACCGACTGTTTGCTGGCTCAATCTGCCGTCATAATCTTTCAAAAACTTTATAATGTATCAATATAGTGTGAAGAAGTTGTAAACAGATTATTATAAATGATAATTTCATATTATTTGACACTGGCAAAAGTATAACAGTACGAGTACATTACTAAGGAAAAAAAATTGAGGGTTGCCCTTTCGGTAGGTTGAAATGGCGAGCTGACTATATAAGTTAAATAATGACACTTCGCTTAGGTCTTTGAGACGTAACAGTTTTGTAATAATTAACGCAAGACAATATAGACTTTCTCGTTACATTTCACTTTTCTAACCTGGTAGTGGTTTCAGTGTAATCTTAAAGACAAAAAAAAGAGTGAGTACTGACGCGTCGAGTGCAGTGTGGTAGGGCGCGGCGAGCGCTCGGCAGAGCGCGGCGGCGGCGGCCGCGTCCAGCGCGGAGCCGCGCGCGCGCAGCAGCGCCGCGCCGCCGCGCGAGCACGCGCCCGCCGACGTCGACACCGACCCGTGCAGCACCACCTGCACCACGCTGCTTCATTGCACCACATTCTTCAACATCATAACTAAATAAACGCCTTAGCCTACGTCTCTGTAGTTTCATCATTACAGCCCTTCACAAGTTCACTGCTAAATACCTTGTTTTACCTTGGTTTACCTCCTCTAAAGAAAGCCACAAAGCATGGTCCTCAGTCACCTACATCCATTGTGCCCTCTATATCTTACCAGGTTGTCACTCCATTTAATGTGGACTATACCAATAATAAATTAGAAGAAATATTTCTTTTAAAAAAACATTAATCATATAAAAATGTTAACAGTACAATACTACCTTATTTTTTAACAGGAGACTTTCTGAAACTTGTTTACAATTTGAATTTATGAGTGATCACAATGAATGCAATTATTTTACAGTATTTTTCCACAACATGATATAAAAAACATACAGAATGAAAAGAGAACCATCTACAACTTAAAAAAGATTGTCAACCCCAAAAAATTTCAAATTCTCAAAATATCTATATAGCTGCAGCATGGCTCTACCACATTAAAATATATATACTTGTAGCACAAATGACATGCCTGGCGTGTCATCCGCACTGAAATGGTTAGTATTATAATAAAGCAAAAAGAAAAAAAGTAACGAACAATAAATAATTAAACTCAGATAAAAGTATAGTGAAACTAGGATGGAAAAGCACACAAACACAATTTAAGATTACCAATATTATGATACACTAGCATTCTCTGCAACTCCACTCACGTGTTAGGGTTTTGTGTGTGAAAATCCCATCAAAATCGGTCCAGCCGTTTCGAATACTAGCCGGAACAAACAGACAGACAAAAAGTTTAAAAATTGTATTTTATATTAACAGTAAATTTAATGTTGAATGGCCAATACAACTATGTGCACCTGGAACCAACTTCATAGAAAGTTTTTTTTTTATATAACATGGGTGACAAAGAAGCACACAATCGATCTGATGATAAGTAGATGCTGTAGCTTATAGACATCTACACTTATTTATTTTCAACTAGCTGTTCCCCACGACTTCGCCCACTTGTATTAAATTGTAATAAATTACATCCTAAAGGATTGTAATACTTTTTAGTGCGGAATCCTACATCTTTTTCTACAACAAAAGTAGCCTAAGTTACTCCTTATAACATCAATTATCTGCCAATGAAAGTCCCATCATAATCGGTCCAGCCATTTAGGAGAATAGCCAGAACAAACAGACAGACAGACATAAATTTTAAAAATTGTTTTTTTTTGTTATTAGTACTGTATATATTATTATTTTGACATTACAAACTGACACTTCAATTTCATTTATTTGTATAGATTACGAATCTAAATGCAGATGCATTGTCAACCTAAGGACTAAGATGGAATGCCTCGTTTCTAGTAAAAAAGTTCTCTACACTCACCATAAGAAACAGAAGTATTAAGCTGATATTTTAAGCTGTTATACTGACAGTGTAGCCCTTCCTCAGTTGAGTCGACCCATTTGTACTTCAACCATAACATTTAGCTGCAGCATGCATTGTCATCATTCTGAACTGAGATGTCTGTTCAAAGCCAGTAATTATTATGGCTCTCTTAGGATGCTAATTAAATTCCGCAATTTAAATAGGTTTTAGAAGAATTTTTGCTTAGTACACCTAATTTTATAAATTATCTATTATTAAAGTTATTTAAGCTATTATGTATTCTGTGGTTTAAGCTTTTCTTAAGGTCTTAGATATTCGAATACACTCAATGTATAAATCAGTACACTGACCTCATAGTCTCCGTAGTATATTTGCGTCAACAGAGCGAGTGTAATGGCAACAGATAAAACAGCGAAGGCGGTAGCGATAAGACGTGGCCCAGCGCAGCGCTGTGTGTCTCCACCACCAGACTTCAGCGGGACATCCTCGCGCAGCTCCACTACCCCTTTGCACATTTTTCTTTATATTATTTTACTTACATTCATCAGGATGTTGGGACAGGGAATTTTAACGTTCTTTACTGAGATATTAGGGTAACACTTAAAAGTAGGCCTCAGTTTACATTTTTACTTTGTTTTCTTATCCCTAAACGGGTGTTATATATATTTAGTACATATTAAGTACGCATACTTTACATAAATACTTTTCATAAAAACTAAACAATATTTCTATGTACAATAACAAACAATTGATAGATGATAGATGTCAGATTGACAGAATTTAGACAGCTGTCTTTTATTAATATTTTTGACTTAGATGCTTATCTTTTAAGCCATGTCTTTATTTATCTCAGTATCAAGTGATAATGATCAATTTTCATCTCTCATATGTCACATTGCGCAGCCCTTGGGAGATTTTAACGGCAACAGGAGCCAGCAGACAATTAGCGATAATATCTCAAGGCGCCTAAGCAGACAGACGCCTTATCTTGAGATGCACATCATCATTGGAGCACCTGTTTCACCGTTTTCACTAATAGTCCACCTCAGCACCGCGCCGATCATGTTCCCCGACAGTTGTTTTATTGTCAACTAGTGGAGGCAACGGTCTTAGAACGTACGAATTCTTGTCAATTCTTTTTCGTTTTTTTTAAGCCATAGCTTTAGATTTCTCGTTTTGCTCTAAATATTTGATAAAAGTGTCGACCAAATCTGATTGCTAAGCATTATTTTTCAAATTTTGCCGACATTATTTAAAAAATTATGTTCGCTGACTTTTCTTTTTCGAAATGCCTCGTTCTAATCTGGTACTGCGTACGTCAATCCCCTTCCAAGCTATATATTAAAAAGTATATTATATAGTATAAATAAATTGAAAAGTATATTATTCTCCTTACAACAGAAGAGAGCTATTCAGCCGTGAAGTTTGCTGATGATTGAATGATGATTTTACTAGAAATTATTAGTTATACGTGGACCACTCAGAAACTTTTGCGAAACTTAACAAAATTCCGTGATTAAAGTGCTCATGAAATATTTTCACATATCTCTTCACCAGCATCTTTACAAAGTTTCATGTGTCTGAACCAATTTTCGAAACACTTTTTACAATCCGTATCACGTAGATACCTCTTCTACGACCTGCTCGAACATCACAACTGGCCCATCGATGAAAACTGCCCTATTGCTGGCAGCTGATCTTTTAGTTTTATTTTAAGGAATAAAAAGGAGTGTCACGGTGCCAAATCAGGGAGGATGATCCAATAGCTGTCCAGGAAGTCCTTTCTTTTGAACACTAACTATACGGGTGCGTTTTCATGGCGTATGACAAAGCAATATCCCGCGGCCATCATGCTCGGTCGCTTATTGCTCACAGCAGTGAACACTTCTGGCAATTATTGTTTCTTCGATTTCTAAAGGAGTGGACACCAGATCTCTCTCAAAGTGAATAAAACTAACAAACAAAACCTTCCCTGCGCTTCTCGATCGTTCACTTTGTTAGGGGTTGGTTCATTTTGAAACAGCAAAATCGCCGATTGCCGCTTCGTTTCTGGATTATATTGACATAGCTTAATGGCAGGGTGCGGAACACCAACTCAAAAGGTCGTGCGTTTGAATCTGCCATTCGACTACTTTCGTGGCCACTAACACGAGCATTTTAAGTTTACCAGGAGTGGTCAAAGGAAATATTAGTAATATTATTAACATTACTATTATTCTAAAAATAAAAAATAAATAAAAATAAACCAAGTTTGATCACCAGTAATAATGCTGTGAACAATAGTAATGCCGTGCTGCTTAATTCAAATTAAATAATCACATTACGGCACCATTCCACGTAGGCTTGCTTTTGAGCACCGATGAGGTTATGCGGCACCCAACACTAATTTAACCACGTGAAGGTGTAAGTTTAAAATCTCATGATAGCTTCCCGCTCTATCTGCAATATGTGCTGAATTTCCTCATAAATAATTAGCCTATTCTCTTCAGTTAAATATCGTTTCCTTTCGTAACAGCCGTGAAAGAACGACCAGTTCTTTCGTCATCTCTGAAATTTAGTCGACCGTGCTGAATTTTCTTATACCTGAAGTACATGGTTACTTTACGAAGGTCTTTATCCAACTATTATACATTTTAAAGTGTATCAAACGATTCGTTCAGTTTTAGTCGACATTTGAAATCGTGAAAAATCTTCTCGCGAAAATGTACCCGACGCAGATCCATTTTTCAATATTGTTTTCGTGTCAAACACGTTCTTTCACTTTAGCTTTTAAAGTTCGGTAATTCAGTCAAAAATTGTTGAAAATATATGATGAAATTTTATGGTTTGTCTTGTATGACAACGGATACAGTAAAAAGTAATTAAAAGTCAAGTGATATTCAAGTTTTTTTTTTTAATAAAACATACCAGGCGGTGGGTGATCATCGCTTTCAGACGTTGCTGCCATTGAAGTAATATCTCACGGCCTGAAATAACAAAAGTATTTTGAATTATCTACTTCATAACATTTGGAACACAACAGCCTTTTATTTTTACTAAGTTATTAGTAATGATAACCGATTTACTATTACTTTAATTTAACTATTTCATTTGTTTTAATCTTATTTTATTGAGGTGTAATAAACTGGTAGTTCTTTGGTACTCTTAACTACTGCCGGATAATAAACGGACATTCTGTCACACCGACTTTATGAAACTATTCCACAAAGTAGTCGTGTGAGGAATAAAACTCCTAGTTAATCGCACACCACGCCTAGCATGGGCTGGGGACAAAAATTTATCCACCGATTATATCCACTGACAAGGAATAAAAAAAAATTTATAGGAGAGGGGGCAAACGAACATGCGGCTCACCTGATTGATGGTAAGTGACTACCGCCGCCCATGAACAACTGCAACACCAGGGGAATCGCAGATGCGTTGCCGACTTTTAAAAAGGAGTAGGCTCTTTTCTTGAAGGTCCCTAAGTTGTATCGGTCCGAAAAAATCGCTGGTGGTAATCGATTCCACAAGGAAGTTGTGCAAGGGAGAAAACTTCTTCTAAATCGCACAGTGGTGGAACGCCAATCATCCAGATGATATGGATGGTATCGCGAGTTTTGTCGCGATGTGCGATGGTGAAATTGAGCGGCTGGAATTAGTCTCAACAATTCCTCAGAACACTCCCCGTGGTAGATGCGATAAAATACGCAAAAAGATGCAACATCTTTACGCAGTGCTAGTGAGTCAAGCCGATCGGAAAGAACTCGGTCGTCGACGATTCGAACCGCTCTGCGCTGGATGCTGTCAAGTGGAAGGAGCTGGTTATCTTGTCCTTAAGCCAAAGCACGGCAATAGGGAAAAGTATATCCCCGTTTGACATAACGAGTAGACATATATCCCCCGTCCGTAGCATGGAGCCAAATGAAAGATAAAAAATTATGCTTTTTTGATATTTGAAAGGGACAATTTTATCCTAGTGCATTAGAAGTGGGTTTACTATAAAATTCTTACAAAAACCTATCTAAGTCTAAGTCTATCTCCAATTTATCTACTGTGGATATTATATCCACCGGTGTGCCCATACTCGAAGGCTGGATAAAACTAAGCGAGAAGATAAACATTTTCTCCTTTCCCCGGGGATAAAATTGTATCCTGCCCATGCTAGCCGTGCAGTAGTGGACCACCAAGCATCCAGATGATGTGGATGGTAACGTGAAGTTTGTCACGATGTACGTTGGTGATATTTGGCGGCTGAAATTTATCCAAGCAATGCGATTTATCAAAAATTCGCAATAAATGTTTATTTTTTTATCACACAAAAAGACGAATAAATGACATGTTAATGCAGATTTTTAGGTTAATTTATCTAACTCTAAACGTTAATCCTATTACAACAGCACGCCATGGGTCATTCAAGTCTTAAACTACTGCAAAACTATGTTAATTTACCCACACAGACGAAAATCGATTCATAGTAGTTCGATCCTGAGTAAAAACGTCCAATCCAATCGTGTCAAAGAAAGATGGAAAAAAAAACACTAGTGAAAAGGAGTCAGCCACTCGTGACCATGGATGCTGAGTGATATGTGTAAGTATTATTGCGTAAAGACGAATGCTAATCATACCTCGAAATGAAACAAAAAAAACAACTATCCAAACAGCAGAGTAGAAAATCAGTCCTTGCGTGTTTGCGTACCCGGACATTGGAAAAAAGAAATAGAAACATTAATTATACAATGGTATAACTGGGAGCCTTATCACATAGATGCGATCTCTATCAGGAAACCACTTTGCAGTGTATATAATGATTAATAACCAGTGATAAGTTAACTGTCCAAGGAAAGCAAACTACCTCTACATCGAATGTGAAGGTTCATCGGAGGCTAGTACTAATCCATTGGACCAAATAACTTGCTGTAATGCCGACTTTATACACACCGTCCAACTCCAACGCACCAATACTCGGCTTACTGTACTATGTAATGTACTAACTTCAACCGCTCTAAGCTGAAAATGCTTATTCAGCGAGTGGTACCGTATTCCAAACCAATAGGCAACTGCCGCTTTACGCGCTTACAAAAATTTGTAATTAATAACGTATTTACAAATTTTTGTATCATTAACTTTAATCCACGTTATAACTCTTTTAAACGTGTTGAACCAAGCTGCAGCTATATTAATTGTATAGTTGTAGCACGAATGGGTCGGATCGACCGGGGAAGGACCACGCTCTGACAGCCAACGTAAAATAGCAGCTTAATTCTGCTGTGTTTCGTATGGTGGGTGTAGAGAATCGGAGACCCTTTTTACTGGAAAAGAGGCATTCCATCTCAGTCCTCACCTTTGACAACGTATCTGCATTTCGATTCGGAAACGAGGATAGATGTAGATGTCTATGGCTCTATGGGCCACAGCAACCACTTAACATCAGGTGGACCTGATCATATAAAAGAAAACTTTCAATTTAAACCAAATGACAAAAATTATACATGTCCATAGTTGTACAGCATACTTACCAAAACAATCTGCACTAATGTATTTAAAAAAAAGTATAATTCACAACATACTTGATGATGAACATCAGTGATGATGGAGATGGCAATAACTTATTTAATTATAATATCATCATCATCATCATCATTACAGCCCTTCACAAGTCCACTGCTGAACATAGGCCTCCCCCAAAATATAATATAATATAATTAGTACATTAATAGTGCAATTTAAAGTTGTTCTCGGTATATACATATATTTCTCCCTCTTTTTAATAATGACAATAGAAAGAGACAGATACAGAGATAATTAATACTTAATTTAAGTAAGGTGTAATAAACGACGTAACTAATAAAATTTAGGTAGGTACCACGTTACGGTGCTTTGGCTTTTCGGAAGACTTTCGCAACACTATGGTAATAACGGAACACACACTGCAAATATAGTATTCAATGTATATGTAAAAAATGAGCGGTTCTCGTCTCTAAATCACTTCACAAGTCGAGTACACTAAATATAAACAACAACAATCTCGATTTTGATTCAACAACGCGCATCAACGTCGACACGGTGCGCGGAAAGTAACTGTGCGGTATGTATGCGAGGCGGGCGCACGCCTAGCCGATGACGTAGTCGCGTCTTCGAAAGTTCCGTTTGAGCCCATCCGTCGAACCGATGTTTCAATGACTCTAAAGAACCGATTGACGCAATAAATCCTAAGTGATGTTTTCATATTTGATATTTTTTAAAATTAGTAGAATATATTATGTACGTACAATAGCCTGTATTAAGGAGATAAATTCCCTTATTTAATAGTACATAATTAGTAGTTATAGATACATATTATACACTAATGAGAGCCGTGGTAGCTCAGGGGCTTATCGCTCATTGTAAATTTCACAGCACGCGAGCAACTCGGGTTCGATCCCCGCCAACACCAACGAAATTGTAAATTGCTATTTTAACTGTTGATTTTCCACGTGCTCGGGGGTGAAGGCAAGCATGTCTGAGAAATAATTTCGAAGACGTGTGAAGTTCGCCAACACGCATCGGGGCAGCGCGGCAGACACCTCCTTGCCCTAAAACCCTCTCAGAAATGACAGGAGGCCTGTGCCCAGCTGTGGGATGTATAGGCCGCAACTTTTATACACTTATGTTCGTATTCCTCATTATTCTGTACAATATTCTAGCCTAGAATATTTGTTGATGATGACCTCCAATGATAAAATAAAGACGAGAAGATTAATTACAATAGACAGGCTTAGAATAGGTCGTATTGTCAATTGCACTATCAAAGTTTTTTTTTTCTTTTCTTTCACACCAAGTTTGCTCCCCGTCACTGATCTGGATATTTTCCTCATGATAATTTGGAAAGAGTTATCCCGTCATTCTTTCAAAAAAAGAGGATACCTGCGAAGTTTCTTTCGCCGTTTCACCTCATTTTGAAACGATAAAAGTTTTAGTATGACATTTGCTATATGAAATTTATTTTCTTACGTCGAAAAAATAAAATATACTTCTATTTCATTTCATTTCAAACAAGTGATACAGGTACGAGGATTCTTATCCACCAGTACCTACCTCTCTCTAATCACCAGTGTGTCGTAAGCTCACTCTCGTATCTGACAATTACTCATAAATAGAAAATCATAAACACAACACTTCGTCGTACAAGAATTTATTTATACAATGCGCACGCGCCGGTCGGTCATTCACCGTTCACTGGTTGTTCCGTTGTTTCTTGTATAGCATTTCACTCTCCCGAGTGTTAGCTATATTATGTTGTCATTTCTCTTTCCCGTTCCGTATAGGATATTAAACCAATTTTAAAAAAGTGAAAGTAAATATTTCGGAACTAAATTATTTGTATTCCAAAATACATTTCTAATTAAGAGACGATAGTTACTTAATATTTGAGTTTGGTATCTCAATATTCAATAGTTACTTTTTTCAATTACTTACAATAATTACTTTTTATTATACTACCATTACCGTTACAGCCTGTGGTATATACTCGTAAGTACCTATTATACATATATACAAGTATTATTTATAATCTATATTGAATAAAAAAAGTTTCTGTGTCTGTTCACTGCTGAACATAGGTCTCCTTTGTAGATTACCTCATAGGGCGCATATTTGTCATAGTCGCCACGTTTGGCAAGAGGGTTGGCAACAGTTGGTTGCAGTTGTTCATGGGCATCGGAATTCGCTCACCATTAGGTGAGCCGCATGAGCGATTTCCCCCCTAATATTAAAAAAACCGTTTTTTTAACTAATTGGAAATCAGTTAGTGTAATTTTCTGTAAGGAAATTCAATAGCAGCCCAGAGTGAGGATGTTGGTGGTTTTTCACCACCTAAAGAAAGCACCTTAAGCCTTTGGTTCTGCGCCTGATCTCTCTCCGGTCGTGTCGGTTTACCGTCCCATCGAACTATGAGAGTGAGGGAATAGAGAGTGCACTTGTGCTTGC